ACATCGTCACCCCAAAATTTCCCTTCCTCATCCCCAAACTGCCTCAACACGGGGCCACCAAGGCCTGGCCCGATGCAGCACGCTGGGGCCACGTGGCCTGGCTGCCACCGGCTACGACCCCGGCTCCCTCCCCACCATCGTACCAGCAGCTGGTAGCCACATCCATGGCCAATTTGGCTATTCTTCCACCCTCAATCACAGCTTGGGACAGGTGCCAATGTTTAACCACGTATCCCATCAACCGAGGGTTGTTTTTAATTTCCTCTTTGGGGTTTGGGTTTGATGGGTTTTGTTTTGTTTTTTTCTTTCTGCAAGAGGGTGAACAAACCCACACGCAGACTTTCGGAGGCTTTAACCAACCCCCCTACGCAGCATCTCCCCTCACGCAAACCATCCCGGTCGTCCTCGCTGCCGGAGGCTTTGCTTTCCACGTGCCGCGTGGTTTCCATCACTCAGCTCTGCTATCGCCGGCTTGGGTAAGGATTGAGATAAGACACCCAACCTTGAACCTTGTTCCAGTGAGTACGACGATGCCAATGTGCTAGGAACCGACTTTCTCCTTCGCCCACGTCCCCTTGGGTGCTTCAGATGGGGTGGGCAGGTTCCCCCCTTGCTGCCTTTTGGACACCAGCTCCCTCTGCAAGGTTGGTGTCCTTGGCTGCGTCCTCTGGGAGCCTCCGGCCGCTCACACAGCATCAGTGCCCTGGTGCCCTGCCTGTCCCCAGGGACAAAGGGCTGGACGGCTCCAGGAGCTGCCCGAGAACCCGGCGATGGGCTCCTGTGCCTGCTGGGGTGGGGAGGGGGAAGGCAGCAGCTAGGGAACGGCAGCAGCGAGGTAAAAAAAAAAAGCGGGGCTGATTGTATCAGTGCGTATCAGGACAAGGGGTAGCGGCGGATTTAAGTCTGGGAGGAAGAAGGGATTATCCTCTTACGCACTCGGTGCCTGCGCTGGTGTCACCATCACTTTTCTGGACTAAACAAGCTGTGTTCTTCTGCGTTTCCCCAGAAATCACATTGTCCCAGCCCCAGATGTTTTCATTTCTGGCATCATCAAGCTTTGGAACATCCTTTTTAATGCAGGAGCTGCACTGCCAGCCCTTTTTTTTTTTTGGATGGAGGCTGTTGGGTATCTGCTTTCTAGCAGCCTCCCGCTCCCGCACAGCAGTGGGCAGGTCCTTGGAAATATTTAATGGCAGAGGAAAGGGCTGTGCTGGCGAGTCCCTCCTCGAAGGGCGTACGGGTGCCCACGACCCATGGCTGCCCTCTTCCCTTTCCTCTCACCTCCCAGGTCAGAGGAAACAGGAGGAGAAAGCTGGCTGCAAGCCACAGTCAACACCGAGCAGGGTTACGTGGCAGTGGGGATGAAGGGAGGCTTCTGGGCGGTGGGGTACCACCAGTCCTACCCTGCCCTAAGCGGGCTGTCCCCTCCCTGGGGACAAAGTCACCCCCTTGCAAGATGCTCCACCGCTGCTCATCAGCCCGATGGCACGGGAGCAGGGATAGGGGCTGCAAACTAGAAATCATATTAAAAAGACTCCAGCGAGGAACCATTCCTTCACCTTCCCTTCCAAGCCAGAGCACCCTCGTGGTCTGCAGACATTTGAGCAGATGTATTCAGGGACATGGCAAACCCAAGCGTCTTCAGAGCAATTTTCTCCTGGCACCAGTTGCTTCTCCCCTCTTATTTCCACTGCCTGTCTCTCAGAAGCAGAAAAGTTCAGCTATAGATAAGCGCTTTAAAATAACAAGCTCTTCGGAAAAAAAACAAACCAAAACCACCCACCTGCACTGTACTTGCAGAGAAGTTTCCATGAAGGAAAAAAACCGTGCTGTTTGGGAACACTTTCACCCCTTGCCTGGACTCGGGGATGCTCTGCGCAAGCCGTGCCGCTTGCTGTGGCAAGAAATAAGAGAGCAGCAGCTCTCTGCATGGCTGAAACCATCGGGAACAAACCATCCCCTTGGGCCAGACCGCTACCTAACGCTGAAGCTCCCGTGTGCAGCTCCAAAACTTCAACATCTGGTCTGGGATGAGCAATATTGGCTTCAGATGCAGCAAGCCCGGACTGCGGAGAGAGAGAAGTAGAGAAGGTGGCTAGGGCATGATGCTTTCTGGAAAAGCAGATTTGAACCCTGTTTTCCCCCTTCATTACCTACCTGCTATGGAGTCCTCACCCCATCTCCTCCTTCACCTCTCCTGGGATGGGAAGGATCCAACCAAAGGGTGGTAACATGGAGGTGACGGTATCTTAAAAGGAGCCTTGCTGAGACGCGGGAGGAACACCCACAACTTCTGGAGGTGATCAAAACCATTCACTTCAGCAATAAATCAGCATCTCATCTTAGCCAGGCAAAGACCCTGGGCTTGTTTAAACTCCCCCTTCTCAAAACAGCAAGGACTTTTAGAAACACATTTCAAGGACAAGCGTTTTGCTGGAAGTGAACAACGTGCCTGTATCTAAACCCTCAACAATCCTTGACTTGGGCAAGGATTTAGGGTAAAAGGGGACCAGGAAATTAGTTGGTTTTTTTTTTTTTTTTAATGTAATCTAATTTAGGAACAGCAACATTGCTTAGAAGGGGCTGGAATTGAAGACTGTGCGTTACGGGATTCCCAGCTCAGAGGTTCGCGCCTTCAGGAAGCTTGCTTGGTCCCAAACCAAGAAGAGGTGATGTAAACACCTAAGCCTCCTAAGAAGCATTCACACAAGATAAAGGAGTCCCTGCAGGCCATGACTGACTCACACCAGCTAAATGTTACTGAAGTAGAGGACGCAGGATGTCACAGACACCGCACAGCTTCCACATCCCCCTGGCCAGACACTCCGGGGCCCTTGGAGGACAAATCTCTCTCCACAATCCTAGAAGCAGCACAAAACTTTCCTCCTGCTGCCTCTAGAGAAAGCACGGAAACCCTGGAAGCTTTGTTTGAAGGTAGGAAAGGCCCCAGCTCTGCACACACCCCACAGCAGGGGGGGGAAAGGAAGATGGAAGGAAGCAGGGTTGCTTGGTATGATTCAGGGCTTGCTTTTCTGTTTTTCTTCTCATCCTTGTAAAAGCTGGGGCTTTGCAGCTACTGTTGCTGTTCTACATAGCACTGGCCTCTCAGAGGAGTACAGACCCACAATGAAATAAAAAAAAATACAAAACACCAAAACCCAAAAACACAGGAAGGAAAACAATTAGCAGAGAAAGGAAAAGCAGCAGCAGGAACAAGTACTCATGCCTGAAATAAATGCACTGCCTGCTGCTAGGGGTGCAGGTAGGAAAGGTTACACCACCTTCTCCTGTCGAGAAGTTCAGACTTTGGTGTGAAGTCCCGGCTTTTTGGGCTTTATTGCTAAAGGTGAGCACTGGCAGCGCGGTTGTGTGCCAGTGGAATAGGAAGGCAGAAAGCAACCATCAAACAGAGCCTTGAGGGGCTGAGATAACAGGAACCAGCCCCACACACAGGGATATCGGAAAGAGTTTTTTTGAAATCTAAGGTTTCTAAGAAATCTAAGCTAACGGGGGGAAGTGAGGGCAGAGCTACCTACAGACACTTGGAAAGAACCGGTCATCAAATGGGCAGACACTCAAGGCAGTAGGTTCAGCTGGGATTAACGGCTTACATTTAAGGATTTTGAGGAAGAGGAGCACTGAGACCAAGGGTTTGGCATCCTGGGTTTTTCCTCACTCTGTTCCTGAAGCCCCCGCTTTGCTCTGCAAAGGTAACCGTACAAAGGATTCAACAGGAAACCTTCCCGGTGCTGCTGCTTCCGCTGCGTCAGCTCCCGCTGGAGTTCCAGCGTCGGGTGGGATATTGCTAGACCAAGGGCAGCACACAAGGGCTGGGCCAGGGCTGCTCTCCACCTCTCTGAGCTCAGATCTGAGCTATTTCAACTTTGCAATGAAGAAAAACGCCAAAAAACAAAACCAAGAAAAACCCAAACCTAACTCGAGTCTCCTGCTGCTCCCCAGCAAATATTTCCAGGTAGAACAAACCAGATCGCATCCACTTCCCAGGCAGGGGATGAGGTTTAAGGCAGCAGCTATATGGATCCCCCTTTATAGGCCCTAAGAGCCCAGAGAGAAGGAGCAGAACGCCGTCCTACACGAACAACTGACTCATTTCTCTTGCTGCCTACATCCCTGTCACAGCGAAGCACGAGTCTGACACAGGCACCTCTGAGAAATTAGCTATGACTCCTGAAGAACACGTGGAGATGAGAGTCTCTGGTGGGGATGCTTAAAGCCACGGGGTCTTCAGGACAAAGACCAGAGGAGCGCAGGTACCTCCCTGCCAGGTTACCAGTTCAAGTAAAGCAACTACAGAGCTTTTGCTGGTATTAGCAGCTGTAGTTTTACCCTTTACAGCAGCTCACAGCTTCAATCACTGAGGGGACCATTCCTTGTTAGTCCAACGACTTGCAGCTGTCCCAGGGTAAGGGCTGCTGAAATACAAAACCAGGGAGTTTTTGCCATTCCAACTCAAACATCTTTATTTCTGTGCTGTCAGCTTCACCCATCCTCACAGAGGACAGAGTGCAGGAGGTAAGTGAACTTTTCCAGAAAAGCTGTTGGTTACATTTAGGGGTAACAAGGAAGAACCAAGGCCACGAGGAGCCATTCCCAATATTTTCCAAAATCCCACCCTGAAAGCCTGAGGAGTTTTTGCTAAGCTGTTGCGACTTCCAATTTAAAACCAAGCATTAACGTTTGGGACAAGAGGACTACTTGGTAGTTAAAAGAGTCCACAGGAGCCTTAACAGACTCTTTTCCCCTGCTTTCCCAACCCTATGTGGGGCCTAACATAACTTGTAAAGGTTCTCCTGCCAGTCCACTCCCAACAGCACCTGTACTCCTGCCCCAGAAACACAGACTCTGAAGAAATATCACACTCTGGACTCAGAGGGGAAGGGGAGGAAGGGCTGAGATTTAAAAAAAAACAAACACAAACCGACGGAAACTCGGAAGAGACTGACACAAATGACATAAAAAGCAGAAGCTATGAAAATATGTTGAGATGGTCAAGAAAAGTCACATCAAAATATATTTAAAAACCAGAAATTCCAATCTGCGTGGAATTTAAAACTCTTTTCCCCACCTTTTTTTCCTCCGCTCAAGGAGTCTCTTTGTTGTTCCAGGATGTGGAACATGATAGGCAGCACCAGTTATGTCCTGAAAAGGGTAGTATTTCTCCCAACTCGTCTGAGCGCTTGAACCATTTACAAAGAAAAAATTATATATACCTCAACAATTGCCCCACCCTCCCTCTTTTCCATTCTACAGTGGGCAGGAGAAAAGACTGCAAACAAATCTGACTTTTCATTTTCAGTTAAGTCCAATTTTTCCACACATCAATATCCCTGCAATCCATTGTACACCTTCTGCACCGATCCTTGTTTCAACAGCTGTTTGAGACCTGCAAGAGAAAGGAAAGCATTACTGCACAGCACAAACAAGAGGAGGACTCTGCGTTTGCTCTTCCTCCTACATTTACACATCTGGCTCGTAGGCTCCGTAGCATCAGCCCTTCAAGGCTGAGTCTACGTGTTCAAATAATGCAAACACTGGTACTCTAAGAGGATCACTTAAAGAAAAAGGAAGAAAAAAAAATGTGCCCCCAAACCCAGAGTTGTAACAGCTTTACTCCTGCTCCTTCAGCATTCCTACAAGGAGAAATGGGACTGAGGATGGTGATGCTGTAACAGTGCTTTCACGCGCTCTTGGAACCACACAAGGCCAGCGGTTTCAGGGAGAAAGTCTCCTCTGCTATCCATTCAAAGCCCAGCACGCCACCTCAAGATCCTCACAGCTCTTGTAAGGGATAAAGCTGACTCCTAGAGCTGCTTTGCTGTTGAAGTTAACAACAATTTTGTCATCTTAAGTACAAATGCGACAAACCACTAACTTGCTGAGTATTTCCAGAGTCTCATTTCACCTAGCTCAGCTCTACAGCCCAAGAGAAATCTGCTAGCAGCAAGCTCAGGAGGGGTACACTTGAGTCCTCCTCGACTCGCCAGCTACAGAAACCCACAGAGGTAATTAGAAAGCAGAGGTTTTCACGCTGGTATGTGGTGCCTGGGGACACTACAGTCCACTAGAAGTACTCCCCGAGGGCAAGTAAGAGAAGCAAACTTGTTATCTGTGGGCTAAAGGATCCTACTGAAGGCCTGAAAATCTGAAGATTGTTTTGAAACCCACTATTTCAAAGAAGTCTAGATGACTTTTCAAATACCACCTTCCCCAGCCCTGAAAGGCCAGTCATAAAACATTTCAAAGAACTGACTCTCTGAGGTCCTGGCGATATCAAATTCTTACCAGAGAGGGATAAAAGAAGAGTGAGTCAGTCCTTAAAACCATTAATAGCTCATCTACTGGGGTTAGCACCTTCAGGGAAAGGCTGGCAGGTCTTCACTGCTACTTAAAGGGCAAGAACGGACAAAACAGAGGAAGCAGACTGGCAAGAATGGATGTGTCACACTGTTTTTCCAGTGATAATCAGAGGGGACTCCCTCTTTAAAGTCAGCCTGGTCACACACTGCCAGGACTCCCAGTGCCCTGGCCATGTCTTCATCTCTGCTCTGACCAGCACCAGAAACCACTGAGCATGGGGAAGGGCTGTCAGGACCCCAAATAGAGAGGGAAACTCCCCACACCGTAGGTAACTTGCAAATAATAATAATAATAATTCAGCTAAAGTGCTATAATTCTGCTGTTGGATGTCCTCAAAACAACATCAGTCTTGCAACAAAGCACACAAGCGGCTGGTTTGCACCTCCACACGACAGAAGACAGGATTGCAGTCCTGCCTCAGAGCTTGCTCTGCTGCTCCACTGAAGCCAGACTCACGGTGTCATACTGTACGTGTTTCTACAACAGGTCAGATTAGGCTGCCTAGAAGATACCATCATAGTTGTTAAAGTTAAGTGAGGTACACAGGCATGGAGAGGGAGGATCAGTAATTAAATCAACCAATTTACTCGTGCAGGAAAAGGAAAAAACCCCAGCCTTTCAAGCATGCAAATCCTTCTTCAGGAAATCCAGCTAAAAGAGAGTATGTCTCCCTGCAAACCTTGTCCTGCTTGTCTACCCTTAAATCATTCTGGTTACTGTCCTTCAAAACTGGTGATCTGATGCATAAAGGTCACAGTAGCTCTGTTAAAATATTGGAAAACTGTCCTGGAAGTAGTAACTGGAATCGAGACTGCTTTCTGCCAGGCAAGAACTATTCATGCTTCTTGCTTGCTGGCCAGAGAATCCTGAACTCTTTTCTACATTCAGAAACATCCTCAACAGCAGGGCAAAGTGAGTCCCTGCAAATCATTAAGCACAGGTCATCCTCCAGGGGAGCGCAAGGCAAGCTCACTTCCCCTCCATAGCCAAAGGAGGCTCCAAGTCACTTCCTGGCTGATGGGTAAGAGGACGTGCCTCCTGGATGTGTAGTTCTCTGAAAGGAAGGACATAGCTGGAGAAAGGTGTGCTCCAGTAACCCTGAAAAAAAAAAAGTGGGATTAGCACCATCCCTGTGCCTCGTTTCCTGCTAGCTAGCTGTAGGCAGCTGCCTGCCAGCCTGAAGGATACCCTCATTACCGCACAGGATATTTCAACACATACCTGGCGCTCAATCAGGAATTCTAGCCAGGAATCCTGACATTTGGTGCTCCTGCTCAGGTATTTTTTCCTAGAGCCAACTTTGAGATTTTTCCAACACCAGCAACAGCTTGACAGGTTACAACACAACCTGGGCACTTTGCTGCCTGCTGTTGCTGAGTGTTCCAGAGTTAAAGCATGGGATCCAAAGCTCCGAAACAGACAATAAACAACTGTCACTAGAGATGAACGAGAGATATGTCAAAGAGAAAGTCACCTCTGATCAACAGGCAGTAAATTCCCTGATGTCACACCGGCAGGAAAAAAAAGCATATTATTTCTCTGACTCTAAAGCTCAGGCTGACCAAAGTTGTGCTCTCTGAGTCAGAGTATCTTCTGACTGCCCCAGGAGCTGTACACGTGGTTACGAGATAAGAAATTAGGACCACCGCCAACAATAAGAAAAAGGGAATGTTTTGAATTCTGAAGCCTACAGTCTTCCTCTGACTTTGTACACTGAACTGCTGCCACACAACATGAACAGACCTATTCCCTCATAAAACTCCTTATATCACTGGATGTTTGGAGATATCCTAGCACAAGGAAATGTATCTGACTGCCTACCCAGCCACCCTCCCCTGGGAAGCATGGAATTGCTTTAGGAGGGAGCGAAACACCCAAAAGGCCCCATGCCTGAACACGCTCATGCCAGTACCATTACCTCTCTGTTCCTGGGATATCCATAAAGGCAGGCAAGCAATTTTGACAGACACGAAGGCTTCTGTCGCTGCTCCTTGCCCGGTCTAAACTGCCAAAAGCAACAGCTAGAATAACCTCACATCTGTTTGAGAGGTGCCATCACCTTAGGAAGCTTCAAGAAGAGTAGCAGAGCCTAGGATGAGACTTCACACTGATGCGGTTGCTGTGCTCTGCAGCCCTCGCCGGGCACAACGCACTTGCAACAAGTAGGAGAGCACAGGGGTCAAAACACAACACAGGTTCACTCCAAGCACAGCCCAGTGGCACAGACCTCACAGCCCAAACAGCTGCAGAAAGAGCCACAGAACGTCAGTCAACCCTGGAGCCCCAGCTACCAACTGGGATTCAAGCGGGAGCCAGATCAGTGTGGTCAACGCAGCAGTAAGTGCAACAGGGCTGAGAAAAAACCCACCCAGGCTTTGGCTTCCCTCTCGAAACTTGAAGAGTCCAGGAAAGCTGCGCATTTGTCTCATTCCACCAGGGCAGTTGCCAGAATCCACCACAAGGGCAACTTCAGAAGAAGACAGTATGACAGCCCTGACCAGCAGGAAGAAGTGCTGGGGATGGGGATTTCCTGAAAAGCTGCCAGGAACTACTTTGCCCCATAGCAGAGGATGGGGCTCTTGATGCCTACTCTGATGCCTTGCGCAGAGCAGCAGAACCTACCGCAGAGGCTGCTGAAACAGAGGAATTTCCACCTAGAAGCACAGTATTTACCCTCCTGTCAATTTTCTACATGGTTTACCAAGTTTCCATTTGAGCACTGAAGCTGAGAAGCAAATCTCTTCTACGAAATATCTGCATTGCACCCTTCTTCCCTATATGGCTGCAAACCACTTTGGGTAGAAGATGTAGAGAGGAACAAGCCTTCTCCTGATGCTGCGTGACACTCTTTACCCTTGACAGCAGAGGGATTTTCACAAGTCTTGCCTCCAAGAAAGTACAAGCAGGGGCTGGAAAAAAACCACTTGTGATCCCATTCCAGAAGAGGCAAAGCAGACATAGGCTAAACCCAGTAAGTCCTTCAGTTCAGACAGATGGCCAGCGACAAAACAAAGCACCTGCAAACTTGCCAAGTGCTACATCCCAGCCGTGGCACATCCCAACCTAATCTGGTTCCCTACAACCGCAGCAGCCAAGCTCACTTGCTTCAAAGGGAAATGGAAGTTAACAGAGTTGGCCAACGCCCTGTGATTATGTTGTGCAAGGGGCACAGGGAAAGGAGAGCCCGCTACAGGCCGCTGGTTCAGTTGTGCCAACTTCTTATCAGCTTTGGCGAGAGGTCTGTGCAGCCCACTGCCACGACAGAGCTTTAAAAGACGCACCTTCCCGCTGCTCCTTTGTCAGTTGCTCTTTGGGGAACTCCACATCAAATGTTATTATTAGTGAGCCTTTGATATTATTGTTATCAAAATTTGGAAGACCTTCTCCTTTCTTCCACAGTTTGGCCCCGGGTTTTGTAATTTTATCGCGAGCAACGTGAACCTAGAGACAAAAGACATTTCAGAACATTACTGGTGTTCTGTGTGTGTAGCCCAAGATTTCAATGTCCTTTCCAACCCCCAGAAAAGCTTCCACTGATACCGATTCCTTGCCAAAGTCAGTGATATCGAAGGGGTCCAGGCAGGACACATGCCAGAGCTAACATCATCCAAGACAGCACATGCAGTAACCGCTGTGACAGCCTGGAATCGAGACCCTCACTCTGCACCCTTTGTTCAGAGCCTGTTTTGGGTCCATGGGAATTGGTCTGGAAGGCTCTAGCAGAGGGGATACTGCATACAGCCAGTAGCTGCACAGACCCTGAGCAAGCTAACCTTCAGCACAGAAGACTTGCAGTTACATTTTGTTTACCCACAGCAAGAAAGCAAACCGTTGCTTCACCTTGTGCCCATCCAAGTGGGCGATATCCATTTCAAAGCCTGTAAGTGCCTCGACCAGCGAGATAGTCACGTTTGTATACAAGTCATCTCCTCTTCTTTCAAAGACTGGGTGCCTGTGGAAATAAGAGACATTGGAACTTTTCTCCTTCCCCATAGGGGAAATAGATCCTTTAGCTTCCTTCCCTCTATTTGTGATTTTGGAGACTTCACAAATCGGAAAGGAAGCGAAGAATGAATGAAATTAGCTTCATTGTCCTGTGCAAGGTACGCACTACTAAATAATGTTTCTATTTCTAGGGCAATGAGTGGTGAGGCGTGTCAAGAAGTTGTGACTCACACAGCAATTTTCTTAGTACTGCATTTCCTTACGATAGGGAGATAGTATGTTTATGGAAAAAGGAGATATTTAATGTGATTCACACAGGAGCTACTAATGCATTACAGAATTCAAGCCAAACAAAATAAAATGGAATTATCGCAGCATCTTGATGGTGGTGAAGCCAGCTACTCCAGCATCATCAGGGTTGAACATCCTGCACAGCCCTCAGTACCAGACCCCTGGCTGCACCAACTCTGCTGAAAGGCAAGCTATACGCTAGCCAAGTGGGCAACTCTGGCCAGAAAATTGCTTGCCAGCTTCCTTTATAGTAACCAGAAAGAGTGGTCTAACCAGGCCAGTTACTTACTTAAGAACTTTTATTCGGAAGCGCAAATCACCTGGCTCCCCATCCACATGGGGTTCACCTGTGAGAAAGAAAGAAAAGCTCTGTTTAAAGGAGCTAGTCAGTAACAACCAAAGAAACAAGCAGCACATCAAACAATACAGATTTGCAGCTCACATGTTAAAGGGAAAAAACAGTCTTTACATGTGTAAGCAGGGTTTTAGTCATATCTGTTATTAAAGAGCCTAGGACTTTCTGAGTATTGCCTCAATGAGCTCATACCTCTCTGTTGTTCTGAAAGACTCGCCTGCATGTTAATGATGTCCTTTACTTGTTGAATCCTAGACTGGTCGGGGTTGGAAGGGCCCTCTGGAGATCCTCCAGTTCAACCCCCCTGACAAAGCAGGGTCGCCTGCAGCAGTTGCGCAGCGTTGAGTATCTCCAGAGAAGGAGACTCCACAACCTCTCTAGGCAGCCTGTGCCAGGGCTCTGCCACCCTCAAAATAGCAAAGTTTTTCCCTCATTCAGATGGAACTTCCCGAGTTTCAGTT